GAAAATTTATCTTCTTTTAAGTGCTAGTTTTCTTGTGGGGCTTCATTGAGATTCCCCTTTTGTTTTCTTTTTGTTTTGGAATGAGGATCAAACTGAACTTGTTGATATTTCTGGATCCGATTCTTGAAACATCGGATATAAATTGCCTGAACAGAGTGACTGTAACATTTGATTATACTACTGTTGTTACCTCTATTTGAAGATTTATTAAAGTTTAGAGGCATATTTACTCAAAATGCTTTTCGATCGATTCCTCCACAACGGGATGCTTTAAGTATAAGATTACTTAAATTTGCAGGTGGGGCTGTTCTTTATCCACATGCTGATTTCTTTTTTTAAAAAAAATCTTGTTTGTGAAGCCATCACATGGATTGGATTCTTTCTCTGATAAAGAAATTCTACTCTTAATTAAAATATTCTATTATACGAGGGTTGTTGATATTTTAATAGCAATAATGCATTGATCGATATAGTTTTGCAGATCACTCAAAGGGATTACTCTTCCCATAATCCTGTATGGGGAATGACCCTTGTAGTATTAGACTTGGTACTTTGGTATGCTATAAACTGTGTTAGATTTCGGAGATTGCTTTGTATTGTTTATCGCTCTTACTCGTATTGTTCATTGTTCCAATTCTTGCGGGGGAGTATACCCTGTTTTGACATTTCAATTCTTAGTCGTGACCATGTTTAAGATTCTTTCTTTTTTGAGTGTCAAGATAAAATTTCAAGTCCTTTCCCCCTTTACATTGCTTCCCGCTCTGTATCTCCAATTCCATCTGTGCAGTCCTTCTAGCTTCCATTAATTCCTTATGAGTAGACTTGTGTAACAGAATCCATAGACCGTCCTAGTTATTAAAGACTTTTATACATCGAAGCTAAAGTCTGATTACTGTTTTTCATAATTTGGCTACTCTAATCCATTATAGTAGAGTACCATTTTAATTAGAAAGAGGAAATCAGTTGGAAAAAAACCATATAAACCTAAAGCCAGATGTCTTCCTTTATGTTACTGCTGGACTGCTTGTTTTTCATCAGATAGGAAAGTATAGTTACCATCTCTGTGATCTAAGCTGACAAAATATCAGAATGTGAATTTGCCAACTTCAGGAAGTATTGTAGTGTGCCAGTATTTATCTTTGGAGCTTCAAACTTTTAGTTGTTTGACTATTTCATTTCATTTTTCACCTACAGAAACAAGATAAGTATCATAGATGCTGGTGCTCTGGAACCCATCGTTGACTTTCTTCAATCAGAGAATGCAATTCTCCAGGATCATGCTACTGCTGCTTTGCTCACATTATCTGCTTCTCCTGCCACTAAACCCATAATTAGTGCTTCTGGTGTTTTCTCTCTGCTAGTGGAAATCATAAGGCACGGTAGTTCACAAGCCAAGGCGGATGCCGTGATGGCTCTTTCCAACCTGTCAACTTATCAAGACAATCTACTATCGATTCTGCGGGCACAACCAATTCCTTCTACTGTTTCTCTGCTTAAATCCTGTAAAAAGTCTTCAAAAACTACTGAAAGATGCACTGCTCTTATAGAATCTTTGATGTGTTATGAAGAGGGTAGGAGTTCATTGATATCTGAAGATGGGGGAGTACTTGCGGTGGTGGAAGTGCTTGAAAGTGGATCTGCTCAAAGCCGAGAACATGCTGTAGGAGCTCTTCTGACAATGTGTCAGAGTGACCGCACTAAATACCGAGAACCAATTCTCAGAGAAGGCGTGATTCCTGGGCTCCTTGAGCTGACTGTTCAAGGAACAGCCAAGTCTCGGACTAAAGCACAAACACTTTTGAGGTTGCTGAGAGACACTCCTTACCCGAGGTCTGAGCTTGAGCCTGACACATTAGAGAACATTGTATCCAGTCTCATATCTCAGATAGATTGTGAAGAGCAATCAGGAAAAGCAAAGGAGATGCTCGCTGAGATGGTACAAGTTAGCATGGAACAAAGTTTGAGACATTTACAACAAAGGGCGCTGGTATGCACTCCAGCCGATCTGTCTGTTCCTAGTTGTGTCTCCAAAATTACTTCGAAATGATAGATTTTTTCCTTTGTTCCTGTATCCCTTTTCCTCTTGAAACAGGGGTTTGTGTGAGATTGGTTCTCTGTTGTTGGAAAAGCTGGATAGATACTGATAAATTGGCAGTCCGGGCTCTTAGATAGGTGCCAGGTGACTGTTTAGTGGTCAATAATTCGGAAAATTATATAAGGTCTTAGAAGTATAGTTTAGGAACTTGCCACGCAGTTTATACAGCTAGTCGAAGTTTCCTTCTTGAACCTTGGTTTTCGTGATTGTAATTATGTGTTAGAGCGATATGCTTGAAACCACAATTCTGTACAGGAAATTTACTTTTCTATATAACGTTTATTTTAGATGTTCTTCAGATTTTTAGACTTTGATGTGATTCTTGTTAAGTCTATTTCAGATAACTATATTGAGCATGTATATCTAAGCAACAGGGCTCTGTCACATCCAATCTTACATATTGATGATCAAATTGTTTGTAGTTTGTGCTTGTTATTCAAAATTTTATTGCTTTCTTGGTTTCAACCTCCTGTATTAGCTTTAATTAGATGGTGACAGTTTATAAAAAGTATATTATAAATGAAGCTTGTTTGGCTCTGTGTCAATATCTATTTGGAGTTTATAAACATTTTACAGGTGTTACTTCTTTACTAACAAGTATTATTAGATGAGTATTAGACAACTAAATTCTACCAAACACTAACTTTGCTACCTACTTTGTTTAGTGGGGAATGAGGTAGTTAGTTGGGACTTTGATGGAACCACAGTCCAAAAGTTTGTGTTTTTTTTTTTTAAACATAGCTTTCCTGCAATTTTTATGAAATTTTAGGGGTTAAATTTCATTGTTTTTTTTAATTTGCTAGCATTTGTCTGTTTGCAAGTTTCATAACAAGACATAATATGTTACGAGTGACTTGAAACGTGTCAAATAATGAGAGAGAGATGACAAATATGTGTGCTTCATTGGGTGTGTATTCGTTTTTTTTTTATTTTTCTAAAACCGAAACCAAATCAAAAAATAAAATAAATTAAATTATAAATTCAAAAAATCAATTCAAATTAAAATTTAATTTAATTTAATTTGATTTTTCAATTTAATCTAAATAATTTACGCCCTTACTCAAAATCCAATTAACAAACAAAATTGCTCACACACTCGTGTACATTAGAAAAAACAATTGTTTTTTTGCCGCTTCTTTCATAAAAAATAATCAGAATCATACAAGCAAACAATTTGGGAAGAGTCCAGCAAACATTGAGCCGTTGAGAGCCTCGAAAATTATCGTCCAGAGTGGATGTTAACATCACTTCCCCTATTTCATTAAGTACACATTTATATTCATTAAGAAAGTCTCTTAGATTAGTTCCATAGAAAATTCCTTAAACTTTATTTTAATAATTTAAAAATAATTGTAGCTTTGAAAAGTAATTCAACCAATTTAATTCACTTACTATGTTAAGATGTAGCGATTTTGTTTACCAAGAGTCAAGACAAATAGCTGCTATTGCAGCGATTTTGTAAATGATTTTTTTTTAAAAATATTTTTGAATAAATCAGGGAAAGACAGCGATTTTACTTTAATTTTTTTTAAAAAAATTTAGCGATTTACCAATCTAATTTTTTTATATATAATTTTTGAAGTAAATCGCTGCCCTTTTTTTTTTTTAAACCGCTGCCGATTTACCAATTTATTTTTTAAAATTTTTTTAAGTAAATAGCAGCGATTTAATTTAATTTTTTTAAAAATTGTGTCGTAAAAATCGCTTCCTTTTGAACGATTTTACTAAAATTATTGTGTATTATAAATTGTCTCCGGAGAGACTTTATTGATTTTTTTTTATTTAACAAATTTTAAAAAAATAAATTAAAGTTAAAAATTAAAATTTTAAAAAAATCGTTGCTTTTACTTCAAAAATTAATAAAAAGATTAAAGTAAATTGCATAAATTGCTGTCAACGCAGCAATTTACTTTAAAAAATTTAAAAAATCGCTGCCAAAAGTAGCGGTTTACTTTTTTTTTAAAAAAAAAATAGGTGAATCGCTTCAAAAAAATTTTTTGAAAGTAAATCGCTAAAAAACATTTAAAAAATTATTAAAGTAAATTCGCTGCAATTTATTCAAAAATAATTAAAAAAAGATCATCTACAAAATCCTTGTCAAGGCAGCGATTTTGTTGAAAAATCATACTTTTTTTCTAAATCGTTACATCCTAAGCGATATTACCTTTTTGGTTAAAACCAATTTTCATATACCCTTTTGAAATTTTTATTAATTTTTTTCACCCTTTAGACTCCAGACTCTCTTATTATTTGTTAGAAAATAATTTACACTAAAATTTTACATTTCTACAAAATCTAAGAAAAGTTTTATTCAAATTAATTGCATAACTTTCTTTCTGAATAGGTTTTTGGTTTACAAAACAAAATTAACTAAAAATTACGATGACTATCTTTTAATGGAATTTCATCAAAAATTCTATAAAAAAAAACTAAATTTCTATTCAGAATTGAGTAATGGTATTATGTCTTTATCGTAATATAAAATTTAAAAACTAAAAAAGGCGAGGGATTCACTTGTGGATTGCGATTAGCCACATGAAGGTATATATCTTTCTAGTTTTTTTCAACCTTTATTTAAGGCACCTTAAACGCTCAATTCTCCCATAAAGGAGACTGAATCAAATTATATTAAATTACCATCAATAAGCAATTAAATAAGTTAACAACGTATATTGCATATAATTAATTAAGTGATAAAAGTATATACAAATCATCCCCATTAATTAGTAAATAATCTTTTACTATTTACTTCCTTATTATTATGTGAATAAGAAAAAGTAAATGAAATCATGAACTAATTGAGATATTAACGGAAAATGAGATAAATACTGATTCAAACTTTGTTCACATAATATGATCCTAATAAACCGTAACAAATACAGTATATCTTTTTACTCTTTCTATCCTTTTAGATTAAGGTTTTGCAAAAGAGAAGCAACTTGAGTGGAGGAGGACTCTTTGATACATAGATAAATAGTGTTGGATTGGAGTTTCAATATTAATCTATAGTATAACTCCAATCCCCTATTATATCTAACTACAATTTTTTTTATTAATATAAAGTCTACCCTACAACACTCTTATCAATTACCATAAACATTACCAACTTAACTAAGTCTCTAATCTTATCCTGTATCATCTTGTAAGTATATAATAAGTAGTATCTTACTTTCAACAATTTTTGATTAAATCGAAGAAAAAAAAATGGTGTCAAATAAAGAAGATCAAATCACTCAGAATATGGAAGAAGGTAATGTCCAATCAGCCTCCAATAACAAAGTTGGATTTTGTTCATCGCCTGCGGTGGTTGTCCTCGGTCAAAAGGTACTTATAGTACACACAGTGTTGTATGTCTAATTAATCGTAGATTTATTTAATGAATGAGTTGGATTTTGATGAGCTAATTTTTACAGTTAATTGCGGAGGTGATTGGGACGTATTTTGTTATATTTGCGGGGTGTGGTTCAGTTGTAGTGAACAAGCTTTATGGTGGGACCATTACGTTTCCAGGGATTTCTGTGACGTGGGGACTTATTGTTATGGTCATGGTTTACACGGTTGGACATATATCAGGAGCACATTTTAACCCCGCTGTCACTATTACTTTCAGCGTCTTCGGTCGCTTTCCTTGGAAAGAAGTATGTAACTTTAAATTTTATTTTATCCATCGACAATATTATTTATTTATATATTGGTAAATATATAACTGAACGTATTACAGGTACCTTTCTACATAGTAGCTCAACTAATGGGCTCGATTCTGGCTAGTGGAACTCTGTCTCTAATGTTTGATGTAACTCCAGAAGCTTATTTTGGTACTGTTCCAGTTGGGTCTAATGTCCAATCACTTGCTGCTGAAATCGTCATTTCTTTCCTTCTCATGTTCGTCATTTCTGGCGTTGGTACAGATGAACGAGCGGTAATGATATAGATTACGCGTTAAATCAGTCGTTAATACTTACATCACGGTTAATTTATTTATATTTTGTGTTATTTTTGCAGATTGGACATATAGCTGGGATAGCTGTGGGAATGACCATAACCTTGAACGTTTTTGTAGTAGGGTATGCTAATTATTTAACTTAATTAAAAAAAAATATCAAATTAACCTCAAAAACCTAATCAAATTTAAAAATGCAGGCCAATTTCAGGAGCATCAATGAATCCCGCCAGAAGTATTGGTCCAGCAATAGTGAGACATACTTACAAAGGTCTGTGGGTATATATTGTTGGTCCAATCGTTGGAACCCTAGCCGGAGCGTTCATGTACAATTTGATTCGAGCCACGGACAAACCACTCAATGAGCTCACCAAAAGTGTGTCGTCTCTTCGTAGTTAAGAGCAAGTCAAATATATTTAACCTACTTTTTAGCGTCCCATTTATATATTAGATACTTCATTGATCAACAATACAATAATTTTCACATTTTTGAGATATTTTTTTGCTGCAATTTCTTTGTAGTTGCATCCCAAATTTCATTTTTGATCTCATATATATTACAATTCTTTGATAAGTAAATCAATGATCTGATATCCTAGATCTGTTGGGTTGGAGACGGTTGAAAAACACATGTATATATATATATATATTTAATTATCGTAGAAGAATAAAGGTAGGTATATGTCATTCCAATTTATTAATATTTCAACTTGGAAATAGTTCTTTAATTTTATACTCGCTCTGTTCGGTATTATTTGTTATGTCGTGCTTTTCAAAAGTTAATTTGATTAATTTTTAAAGTTAAATTAGATCATATTAATTTGATATTTTAAACAAAAAAAAATTAGATATTATAAAACTATATGAAAAGTCTATAAATTATAATTTTTTGCATATTAATATAATAAAAAAATACATCTTCAAAATATTAGTCAAATTGACTCTAAAATAAAAATTATGACAAATAATATCAGACGAAAACCTATATGTTCTTTTAATTTTCTCGTGAAATATTATGTTCCTGACTTATAAAATGCTATTGATCATCTCCATTATAATTGTTAAAAAGACCCAGCCCAAAAGCCTCGCGGGCAATTTCTGTACTTCTTAAAGAAGCAGAACTAAAAATAGGTTTATAATTATATATTTATCAGATGTAGTTCTTTAGTTATTTAAGATGTTATTAAATTTGATCTCTTAACCATATACTTATCACTTTACTCACTTAACTGTAAATTTACTAGTTTTAATTTTTTAAATATTTAAAATTTATCAGATTTGGTCTATAATTATTTTTTATACCGATAGTTTAGAGTAATATTAACATAACCTCCATGAAATTAATTTTTTAACCCATTTTACTGTTTCCCACTATTTTTTCTTCAAATTACTTGTAAGAAAGGAATCTTGACCTCATATGATTTAAAATAAAATTCCGAGATTTGGGCGCATAAAAATAACCTATTTACTAACCATAACTGTGGGTGAATAAAATCGAACCAAATTGCAAATCGAGCCAAATCGAAAAAAAAAAATTCGACTAGTGATTTGGTTTGGCTTGATTTGGTGTTGAAAAAAAAAACTGACTATATTTGGTTTATTTGGTTTCAACTAAAAAAAGTCAACCCGAGACCAAACCAACTCGACATTATATATATAATTTTAAAAATTTTATTTTATACGTAAAAATATTTATTTTGATATAATTTTAAAATATCTCTTATACTTTTTCATAGTTTTTATCTTTTAATATATTTATTTCATATTTGGAAGTTAGAATTCTTAATGATCTAATAAAGATTATAGTCCATACATGTTGGTAATTATAATAAAATTTAAATAAAAAATAAATTAATACCAATGCAAAAAAGAAATCAATTCAACACTAAGAATGACAATAATATTGAATATTTGTTTTTAGTTTTATATAGATTTAGACAACTAAAATACATGATCTAATTTTAATTTCTTTTAATATTTAGTCATGTAACTAATACTTACTAAACTTATTTTAGCATGATTTAGTACTTTAAATTATGATCAATTTCATTATGATTTATTAATTTGCAATACTTTTTTACGTGATTTTTTTTTTGTTGGATATTTTAGTGTCATTAATCATATCTTTTTTTTTTTGAGAAATAACTTAAATAGTTACATTTTGGTAAACTTAAAGAAAATATTTAAAGTACAAGTAAATTATAAGTTTGTACGAAAACTTTATCAGAAAAATCTGAAAAATCAAAAAAAAAAATCGAAGTTGAAAAACTCGAATTTTATTGATTTGGTTTGGTTTATAAATTCAAAAATCCCACATAAATGGTTTGGTGTGATTTTTGAAAAATCCGAACGAATCCTGTCATGTACATCCCTAACCATAACTTTAGTTTATTGATTACAATTCGTAGCTACATGTTATAGAGGGGAGAGAAGGAGCGGGGAGAGAAGTCCAAAGAGTAGGAGAGAGATGAATTATATATGTATATCAATTAGATAATTGTATATTATACATATGTATTTGTATATTCAGGCGAATTATACATAGAAAAATTACATAAATTAATACATTTTGAAAAAATAATTATTGATTTTAGCGATATTTTGTGTTTGTTACCATTTATAGCAATACTGTGATAAATCTGTAATATGTATTAAAAGTGAATTATTTGTGCAATATATTTGAATTATAATTATTTTTGAAATATATTGTGTTTGTTTGGTAAAAAATAGTCACATTGTATTATAAATGTATTAAAATGTGTGATAAATATATTATCCATCATTAAAATTTGTATTATATGTGATAATAAATTATTCTCTGTAATATGTATTAAAATTACATTATAAATAAATTAAAAGTGATGAAGTGAAAAAAATGTTATTGATATAAATGGTAAATATTGTTTTATTATAGCACATTTATGTAAGTTTCCCATTATATTTTTACAAACGTAATCAATTATACAAACTCAAAATCAGTCCACGTAATTAATATATAATGTTAGTTACAAGTGCTTATTATAGCTAAGATGAGTAACCAAATAGAATAAATTTACTTAATCACATAATTTTTTTATTTATTTTTTTAATTAAATTCAAACCATCACCCGACGCTATTTATAAAAAGATTATTTCAATGTGCCCGCCGCGCGTATCATTAGTCCCACACTCCCGCTCTATTGCTAGTTCTTTAAAAGTTTATGATTTTATTAAATAATTTTATCAGATATTTTAAATGAAATATAGTAAAAAAAAAAAAAAGAAACTACAGTTATTTGCCAAAATAGCACGAGGGTACTTAAGTGTAGCACGAGGGTACTTAAGTGTAGCTGGAGATCATTACACAAAGACCGTTACCGTTTCTTGATTACGGATTACCAAATACAGATAACAGGATTTAGCCCACGTGAAAAAAACAAAAGCAGAGGGTTTTTTTGGTAATTGGATATTCTGTATCGGAGGAAGAAAGACGAATGACTGAATAAAGCACTTGTCAGATTGTCAGCGCCAATTCAACTACGCACTCGCCGCCGATCTTCTAATACTCGTTGAAAACAACATCCTTAACCCTCGCCGGAATATTCTCTCCCCTTCCATCGGAGTCGGCAACATATCTTTGCATCATAACTATCATTCTCGGACTTCGTCTTTGCGTCATTGATACTCCGACAGGGAAATTAGGGTTTCGTAATGGGCGATTTGCTGGAGAGGTTAGGATCCGAGGAAGCATTGGGACCTGAATCGAGTATAATGAAGGAGGAATTGTCTATGGATATAGATCCTCCGTTCAAGGAGAGTCTCGCTACCACAGAAGATTGGCGAAAGGCTCTTGACAAGGTAGTTCCCGCCGTTGTCGTTCTCCGGACCAATGCTTGCCGAGCATTTGACACCGAGGCTGCTGGTGCAAGTTATGCTACGGGCTTCGTCGTTGATAAGCGTCGCGGGATTATACTTACAAATCGGCATGTTGTAAAACCTGGTGAATAACAAGCATTAATTTGTTTTTAGTAACTCAAAAAGTCGGCAAATTAAATATATATCTTTTCAAGTTCAATTCTTTGTTTGATAGAACTGCTGTTTGTTATTTGCTCCGCAGGACCCGTGGTGGCTGAAGCTATGTTTGTGAACCGTGAAGAGATACCTATCTATCCCATTTATAGAGACCCCGTGAGTTCATTTTCATGCTCGTATTTGCTATCTTTTCAGTTTTATATTCCTCGTCTCAATATATAATCCGAGTCTTTTCATTTTTGAGATGTTCCTCAATACTTCCACTAACAAAATAACTCTGTACAATTTACACATTTTTCAAGATGCCAATGATTGAATTATTTAGATTTAAACGTCAATGTCAGTTATTACACATTTTTAATAACAATGGATTAAACTCACCTTGTTGATTGAAAATGAGGTAACTTTCAACGATTCTCAGTAATTGTGTCTGTATATTTTTTAGTTGGATCCCAGCATTCACTCCTTTACTTTTTTTCGGGTCCCTTGAAATTTTATGAATACAATGATGATTCGGACACTTTACTCATGCCTATTTCAGGTACTGACACCCACATCCACATCTGTTTAGCAAATGATAAGTCATAACTCCTCCTTCCACTACCCAATCCAGTAGTATACTAAAGGTATCCATAACAAATAGTAACACTTAGTGATACTCCCGCAGTTTCATTTTATTAGGCTATATTTGACTGGACACAGAAGAAAGAACAACTTTTACCACATACCAAAGTTACTGTTAGAACTTATAGCCTTTAACATGCCTTGACAATTTTTATGACTATAAGCGCATGCCATTATGGGTACATGGAAAGTTTAAAAGTTGAGAGTTTCCACATCTAAATATGTGTCATTCTTTATAAAAAAACTAGAAGTTAAGTGTACCATACAAAATGAAGCAGAAGAAATATAGGGACATCGAGAATTGGTGAAGAATACTTGACAATATACTTATTTATTTTGTCATGAGTGAAACTTATTGATTGCCTTTTAGGTTCATGACTTCGGATTCTTCCGTTATGATCCTGCTGCAATACAATTTTTGAGCTATGACGAGATTCCCCTTGCTCCGGAGGATGCTTGTGTAGGACTAGAGATCAGGGTTGTTGGTAATGACAGTGGAGAGAAGGTATGTGGATGAGATTTTATTTATTGCCTTACCTTGCTTTATGAATGATGTATCCAAGCGGAACACTTTTTACATGAAAGGACCTTTTTACATTATTATTCTACTGAACTTGTCATATTCAGTTCAGTCACATTATGACTAATGTTTCCTGTAATTGATCAGAAGGGAATGAAATGAAACTTTGCTTACTCGTTATAGCATCATCAAAGAATCAGTAAATGGGTTAGAACTTTCTGGAACGAGTGTTCCGACTCTTAGTAACTTTGATGGAGGTGGCATACCTGTCGAAAAATGCCCATGATGGAGGCATTATGACTCGAGAAAAACTTTGGAGGCCTGATATCACTTAAAATGTGTAGAGGGGATGCATAACTCTTTGATGTGTAATCTGTTTGTAAACTATACTTTTGATTGTTGAATGCTGACATATGGCTGTCTTTCCTTTCGTTGCATCCTTTTGATTGTTTTCGAGGGGCTATATTTTCTTAA